AATGTTCAGGCTTTATCCTTTCCTGATCGAGTGAATCAATACGCGTTAACATGCAGTAACTACTTCAAAAGCTCGAATGCTCGTATTAGGGCGAATGCAGCGCTTCTGACCGGTCATATGCTGGGCGTTTTGACTCCACAACTTCGTGCCATTATCAGCAAAGATCTTGTATTTTCTAGTCAGTTTTTTTCATTTTTTTCACCCTTTTCCGGTTTTTGATCATTTTCTACGTCCAATTACGATTCAAAACTGTAGTCGGATATTTCGCAGTAGTTTTAACACAATATAACCCTTCAGGTCTCGTTTTGCTTCTGAGGGATCCAGAAGATGTGAGTGTGCGAATCGCTGCAGCTAAAGCTGTTGGAAGCCTCCACGACTTTGCCTAGAAGGCTAATCGAAAGCTTGCTGAACAAGCAATGAGGTGAGCATTTCAGCGACATTCCAATCTTTGTGACTTGTGCTTCTTTTGCCAAACGATTCCCAGTATCAGAATTGCCGTGCCCTGTGGGAGATCGCATACCCGATGGTGATCGTATGAGAGGAAGGCGCATTGCCTACCCGACTGAAAAGTTGAGGCGCAGCAGCTGTTCCACCCCATCTATCACTGAGTCCATTTGGCGAAACGGTGTTGCAGGGGTAGTATTTGCATATCTCGCATTTTCTTCATGTTTATTTCTTAACTAGTCATCGACTGATTGATATATCATGACACATCTGTTCGTGTCCTACTTTCGTTGTTTAGCTTTATCGAACGTTTCGCTTCTTGCTTGCTTGTGGTGGCTTCTGGTTCCAGAATTCTCTTGTGAAGTACTGGCATCCCATACAGTCGATTTGAGCGATTCATAATTGTGGGATTTTTTAAATTTCATGGAATCGCACAAATTTTAGGCTTCCATTTCAAGAACCATCACTTGACCATAGCAAAGCGAACGGGGTTACTTCCTAGAAGCAAAATTTTCGGTATAATTGAGTCCTAATAAGTAGTTCATGTGATCCAGATTACTCTGGGATCTTGAGAATACATTCCAGCCTTGAAATGGAAATCCAAGCCCAAATCATGTCCGTTTTTTTGTTCGAGAGTCAAGACCGTAACAAACCATCCGGCGTTTCTTTAAGCCTTCCCATCATTGATTACCAGTTGGGCAATGCATACTAATGCATGCATTCTATGTCCACGACCGCCTATAGGCTTAAAACTTCTGCAGGTACTTTATCAGGTGATATCGAATTTCCGTACAAACAGACAGACGGACGGACAGACGAGAGCGCTTTATATATAGTAAGGATAATGATCAACGAAGGGCGGCTGACAGGCTGAAGAGTGTGGGTGCCCGAAACCTGGAGTTCACTTAGTCTTGTGTTGAATTGCCCTGAATCGCTCTAATTCTTCTAGATGCCGTGTCCACGAACCATTTTTCAGCCACTTCAATTGTTTCTTCAGCATTGGTCAAGTCTAACTTGAACAAATGGACTGTTTTTACCATTTTTTCCAAAATGCACCCAATTTCCACAGAAATTCTGTCTTGCACATGACTGTAGGCTAATTTTCGGATAGGCGAAGTTGTGTGAGGTGAAATTCAGTAGCTGCTAACAGCCGGTGAATAGCGCTTAATGCTACCCACATAAGGAAAGGCAAGTTTACTGGATGTTTTCGGCTGTCAGCTATTCACGCCTACCTTACACAACAGAGCAGATTGGCGAAAGCGCGCGAGATGGTGTGAACGGGGAGGCGACGGTTGTGGTTTTTTGTTTTTTTTTTGTTGTTATCATTTTGTCATTGCTTTAATTTAATGATTGCATTTTTGTACCAGTAAGTGTGATTCTACCCAGTTCTCCTTTGTATGCGTTGTGTTTCTTCAAGTATCCGGTGATTTGTCTTCTTTTACTGGTTAGTTCTCCTTTCTTTCGATAAACAGTGTACCGATATTGGTTGAAATGTGGACGTATTGACCATCTTATCTCTCAAACTAGTTATCTATATAGGAATACAAGTATATGGTTAGTTGGCACATTCTATTTGACTTGGCAAGTTGTAGTACATACAGTTCCCAGTGGAAAATCCTGTTCAGACGATTAATGTTCCATAGATTCCGTTGCTGTTCTGTGATCAAGGCACATAAACTTTTCCTTATTTGCCAAAATTATACAATCCGCCAGATTTGTGATTAAATATGTTGTTTTTCATTGGCTTTCTTCACTGTAATGTTGATTTTCGATGTGATTAACGTTATTGTAAGGCTCGCAATATCTTAGCCGTTTTCATTTGTGTTTACTTAATGAACCTGCTAAATACACGTTTTTGTCGTGAAGAGTATTGTATCTGAAAGACGAAAGGTCGAAGGCTAGAGCAATCCAGCAAATTTATAAAAGCTCATCGGATCGGTATATTTACGTTTACTGCCAAGCACGACCGATGCCTGTAAGTGGAGCTTTAGAAACTGTGTCCTACAAAGAAGTGCTAACTGGGAAGTTTCGAACGGGTTCCGTTATGTACTAGAGAACTATAGCATAGAATTAGAACCAAGGAAAGTGATTGGTGTATTTGAGCCAACATGAGTCTGGACGGTATCCTAATGGCGCATTTTCGCTTTAATGACACTAATTTGAAAATATATAACGGTATTGGCGGAATAACAGATTGGAGTCTGCTTGAAGATACTTTCACAATCTCTTTGCATCATCTCGAAACTCGATCAATGGATTGCAAGTTGACTGCGAAGAAAGATTATGATTACCGGCCTACGTGCGCAAAATCAAAACCGATTGTATTTGTACCCTGTAAAGTGCAACCCACTGGACGCATTGGTTGCTTTCAGACTTCAACGGCCAATCGACTGATCGACCTCGACGGCGGCCCTGATGGCTGATCATGTGCTGACAACGCTGGACAGACTGCGTTCAAGGCCGCATAACTGGCTGCTTCCAGAGTTCAACGACCGTCCGTCGCGTGCATGCGAGCGAGCGACAGCGGCGCTAGCCGCTTGTTGACAACTCTGGCACGTGGCTCATCGGCGTCGAGCGTTGTCAACAAGTGGCTGGCGCCACCGTTGCTGCACGGATGGACGGACGAACGCACGTCGATTTAGTTTTTGAAGTGTGAAAGCAGCCATTCGTGTTGGTGCATGATCCATTGGGGTCCTGCGCTGTCAACACGTGAACGGCCGCGCGCACTAGTTTGAAGCATTTGTCTGCGTTTTTACGTTTTTTTTTGCGTAAAAATACTTATGCCAGTTGGCATTTTTACGCGTACAACGGATTAATTGCGCCGAAACGCATCTACTATAAATGCGCTCACTTATATTACGTATGTTGTGGAATTGAAACATACTATGAGCTAATTTGTGAAAGCGGAAAAATCACGAAAGGAAAAAGTCGACGGAAGGATTTAATAGGCATCGAAATATCATTTGGCGAAACAACAACGAAGCCTATTTTCAATAGTTGGCGTCTAAATTAGTGATATTTCGATATCAAATAATTCACTAAAGAAAACAACCAGAAATGATTATTAACAATAAAACGAGGAAAAGAACAAAGAAAGGCAAAATACAAACAGTATGTTTTGTAAATCACCTTGCAACTGTTAACAAAAACCTGAAACTCTTGCTTCTCACTATCGTCCGCGGGAAGGATTCGTTTTTCTCAGAAACCAACCGGATAATTGTATTCCATAGGTTGTCGTGACACAGAAGCTATCATGACTTTGTCTGAATAGCCGACGTTTATATCCCGGATCTTCATAGCCATAACCACTCGATCTTGTATTTCCTTGTCTCCCGTCTTCATGTCTTCACATACAAGTTTGTATTTCAAATAGAGTCGCTCTCTGAATTTCTGCAAAACACTGGGCTATACAAAGTATCCAAAGTATTCAATAGTTGTATTAGGTTTAAGTTTGGACGTTACCAGTCGACATGCTGTTCGCCAACTAGCCAAAGCCAGACTGTTGACATCGTTTTATTTCGGTAGCAGGCCAATGCACAACCTTCGCACATAGGAACCCCACCAGACAAACAAGCTG